TCAGCCAGGGCTTATTGATCTTCCTGCTATGCTTTGGGCTGGGGCCATGAGCTGAAGGCCGAGTGAGCTGTTCTCAGTGTTTAGTAGTTTGTTTACTTGCTTTTGATTGTGCTAAGGGTTTTCCTACCTAAGTGAGAGGGTTAGATGCGTTATTGTATAGGTTCCTCAGAAGGTCCCAGCTGCCCGATTGCCTTAAGCCCAGGGTCATGGCCCACCCTGTGCTGGCTCCTGGTTTCTTAATGTGGGTCCTTCACCTGCTGGAATACAGGGGGATGGCTCCAGAGCCAGCGCTGGGGAATGAAGGATGAGTTGGGTACTTGGGATAAAGTGCTCCCAGGTATTAGTGACCATTCGGGGCAGTGCTGCGTGTGGGTATGTATGCCTGTCCCGTTTGTCAGGACAGGCGAGTGTCCTGTGGCAGGTGGCCCTGCCAGGGACACTGAAACACATTCACCGCAGGCCTGTGAGGAAGCAGCGTGGTCCCAAAGAGGATGCGTTCTCCCTGTGCTTGCTCTGGGAGGGCTGGGGAAAAAGAGTAATGGCACCTTCCATCAGAACGCCGAGCCCCCCGCAGGCAGCCCCACCTCCCAGCCCCTGAGCTCTTAGGGCTGCAGTTGGATCCAGTCCCTTAACAGTAGGACAAGTGATCCCTTAGTTTCCCAGGGTACACATTTGTATTCCTTGCTAGAGGAATTCCACTTAGGGAATTGCTGCCCCTCCCCCAACATGGTCATACTGTGCGTGCACGCGCGTGTGCGCACGCGCGCACACACACACACACACACACACACACACACACACACACACCCCTCTATATACCTCGTCTGCAATGGTTTCTTCTTTCTCTAAACTTTGGATTCAGTCTCTCTGGGGTCTTTCCATCGCTTCCCTGTTACTGGTGGCCTTGCCTGCACTGGCCCCTTGAACCCAGAGGCCCTTGAGGGCAGCTACATGGAAGGCCCCGGGCAAGTATTTACTGAATGACTGAGATAAGGGGTAAATGAATTCCGGAGGAATTAAGTGTCAAGCCTGGAGAAATTGGGGCCGACCCAGGTTTTGCGAGTCCCAAGCCGGGCCTGGGGCCAGCTCGTCCTGCCTCGGCTGCTTTGGCCCAGGGACAGCACACCAATTACCCCGTGCTCTTTCCAAGAACTCACACTCCCCTTCCTTGCTCTGAGTCTAGCAGCTGGCATTGGTTATGACTGACCCATGGCAGCACCTGCACCTACTCGTGGAATCACAGGGTGTCAGGTCTCACAGAGCTTTCTGAGATGATCTCCAGGCGTGGCCCTGCCTCACTGTGGGGCTCGGCACAGGCTTTGCTGGGGCTCATTAGAGGGGCTGAGGGCCGTAATCCTCAGAGCATCTCCTGGTGAGCTGGCTAGCTCTGCTGAAATTCTGGGTTCCCCCATGGATCCCAGGATGGATGATCAAGTTCTGAAGGGGTTGATTGCTCTGTGTCTCCTAGTGCCAGCAGCTGGGCCATCAGAAGTGGTCCAAGCCCAGATGGCCACTGTGGGTACGTATAGTGAAAGAGCTGGTGTCGGGGTGTGGCTCTCCTTTGGCTGTTTCTGGACCCCCAGGTTCTGGGTGGGAGCCCAAGACCCTTCTGACTCTGACAGATTTGGATTGTTGGGTGTTCAAGGACTTCTGCAAAAGCTGAATTTGAATCCCATGAAGTTGGAGTGAAAGTGGTTCTACTACAGGTTAGCCTTCTTTTATGGGCTGTGTTTATAGGGTCTGTTCACTCACTCATCCATTCAGTTAGAACGTCCTGAATGAGCCAGGACGTTTGCAATGAGCCAGCTCTGCTCTAGGCCCTGAGGCTTTATCTGTGACTAAGGCAGACATGAGCCTGCCCGCATGGAAGCAAAGCACATCTGTAAAAGGGTCGACAAGAAAACTGCCCCAGTGGTAAGTGCCATGAAGAAGAAAGTAAGGTGATGGTGTAGAGAGAGGCTGCGGGGATTAAGTTTTCTGTGATGAGATGGACATGGAGGGCCTTTGTGAGAAGGGGATATGTGAGTTGAGACCTGCTCGGGAGTAAAGGAGCCACCTGTGCCTTTGCACATTCTCGAACATGCTGAGTTCAACAATGGCACCTGAAGACCAGTGGCTTAAAGGGGGTTAAAAAAAGCTTTGTTGACTCTGAAAAAAAATTTTTTGAGCATAATAAAAGAATTCCATATCCAAACCTAACTTGAAAACACCCCATGTTCACTATTTGACAAGTTGAGCTGTTGTTACCTGCACGGCGTGACTGGGTGGGGGGTGGTCTTCAATTTGATGCCACTCATCCAACCTGATTTGCAGTCTTGCTGTATTTGCACATTCAGCTTCCTCTCCCTCCTGCCGAACTGGCGTCAGCTCAGCAGCAGTAACCTGAAAATAGCCCATCTTCCTGGATTCATGTCTTCTGAGCTGGCCAACCGGGCAGCCTTTGGAAGTGAGCCATCCATGTTGGCTTTGGACTTTCCAAACTTCCCCAGAGCTCTTGGGTTGAATTCTGAGCACTCCCAAGTGGCTTCAGGGTCATGATCCATGTTTGCACAGGAGAGGAGCCAGTGCAGCTGGATGGGGCTTGAAGGTGGAGAAACAGCTCTAGACAGGGCCCTTCCAGGCCCCAGTCCTGCCCCAGCAACTTCTCACACTGGGCCTGCTCCTCCCCGCTGGTCAGCGGGTGCCATGAGTGCTGGGGCTGGACAGTCTTGTTGTCCACCAGTGCATCTTCAGTGCCAAGGACAGGGCCTGGCACACATTGGAAACTCAGCAACTTTGTTGAATGAATGTAAGAATCTCCATGAGAAATTACTTCTTTCTGACCAGGCTCCAAAATGGTTTCTTTTTTTTTTTTTTTTTTTTTAAGTGTAGACTGCCACCAGAGACAAAAAGAAAAGATGGAAATTGGAAACATTCTTTTACTGCAAGTGACCGTGTGCCTGTATGTGTGTGTGAGTGTATATAGTTGTTCATGGACAGTCAGCCCTGCACCATGGTTGCAGTTTCTCTCACTCCTGAAAATAAACATCATGTCTTTTTCTTCTCCTCTGTTGTAAGACAGACTCACAGCCTCTGTCTTCTTGCCAAGGAAGTCAGGTCTCCCATCAGAGACCCTCCATCCACGCATGGTCTGCCTGGCAGGAAGCCCAACAGGCAGCAGACCCCACCGGGGCTGAATGTGCTTGCTCCACAGTTGAGCTCTGTCCCCACAGGTCCCCCTGAGGGATCGCTTGGCCCAGCAGTCAGTCCTGTCTGGGGTTAAGGGGTACTCCTGGACCACCTGGCTGGCCAACATCTAAACACTGGGATACAAAGGGGATGGGTGTGCAATAACTGTTCCAGTGGCAGGAAACAAATTTGGACTCCTTCAAGTGGAAGGCAGATCTGGAAATAGAAGGAGCCCAGGCGTGGATTCATTGCCTGTCAGAGTTGAGCTCCCCACATGCTCTGATGTGGAGGGAGCTGTTCCCTCTGCCCCACCCCCGAATGGCCTGGCTTCAGCCATTCTGCACAGGCTGGAGAGGGGCAGAGAGGACTATTAAAGCCAATTATGCCGACCAGCTTTGAGTGTTAGCGTTTAACAAACAGCTTTGAGTTCTAATTTTCTGCAAAACACATACTGCAGGTACAATTTGTACTCATTACTGTATATTGGGAAAGTTATTAAAAACACTCAAACTTGGTTGAGACTTCGTATGGCATCGTCCCTGGATTTTAATTGGTTTTTATCTAGTTCTATAAAAGATCTCTTTAAACCCAATCACAGTCCCTGCCGCAGATATCATGCCAGTTGAAGGACAGGGAAAGCGCGCTCTGTGATGTAAGTCTTTACCCCCTACCCAAATTTGAGCAGTCTCAACAATCCACTAAAATTCCATCACGAGGTAATTTATACTTCTTTTGATGGGCACAGTTACCAAATGACAAAATAACAGTGTTTCGTAACATAAGAGTTAAATCTTAATCTCTGAGGTTTGCAAAGCCGCTCCTTGCAGTCTCCTTAAAATTTAATATACCTCGTTAATGCTTCCTTGCAAACACTGAAGGATTTTTATGATTATAATCATGTGTTACAGCACCTAGTACTGTTTCTAAGCAGCATACTAATCAGCTTAATGAGATATTACTGCACTTTTTGTTGACTAAAGCAAAATCCCTTTTATTGTTCTAAAGCCTGTCCTTTACTTTATTTTTTTCCCAAAACGTTATCTTGTTTTATTATGTACCAGTAAATATCGTGCCACTGGGTTGGATTTTTTCTTTTTTTCTTTTTTTTTTTGCCAAATCATAAAATAATCTCTTTCATCTCCGACTGGCGAACATATTGAATATAGTAACCAGAAACAAAAATTCCAAGTGAGTCAGTTTGGTCTTGCAGTTAAAGCCATTCTGCTCTATGGCAAACTTTGAACTGAACCAACAGGTGCAGGTGCTACAAGGGGGGAGAGGAGGAAAAGTTTAACACGTAGACCCTTGATTTTGTTATTAGGTGTTGAAAGTGGTAAAACATTAATAATTTAAATGTGAATGAATAATTGCAGTCTGTAAATAGAAAATACAAGGAAGACGATCTGTCGCCAAAGCAAATTGGAGGGGCAGTGCCATATTGCATAATTGGCATATTTAATAATTCATTTTATTATTATTATTATTATTATTTTTTTTTTTTTTGCGGTACGCGGGCCTCTCACTGTTGTGGCCTCTCCCGTTGTGGAGCACAGGCTCCGGACGCGCAGGCTCAGCGGCCATGGCTCACGGGCCCAGCCGCTCCACGGCATGTGGGATCTTCCCGGACCAGGGCACGAACCCGTGTCCCCTGCATCGGCAGGCGGACTCTCAACCACTGCGCCACCAGGGAAGCCCTATTATTGTTTTTGACTAATTCCTTAGCATTATTCTGTGTAGGTAAGGCATGAAATGCAAATTCCCCACCAGCTGATGCTGTTGATTCGCTGCGCCACGGTACCTGGCACAGATCTGAACTCTCCTTTTATTTTTAGGGATGGAAGAAGCCAGTCTGTGCCTTGGAGTGTCCTCGGCGGCGCCGGAAGCTGAGCCCCATCTGAGCAGCCCCGTCCTCAACGGCCAGTATGCCATGAGTCAGAAGTTGCACCAGATCACCTCCCAGCTCAGCCATGCTTTCCCCGAGCTGCATCCGCGGCCCAACCCAGAGGAGAAGGCCCCGGTTCCCCTCGACGAGAAGGCCCACGTGCCCATGAGTGGCCAGCCCATGGGCAGTCAGATGGCGCTCCTGGCCAACCAGCTGGGCCGGGACGTGGACACCAGCCTCAATGGGCGGGTGGACCTGCAGCAGTTCCTCAACGGGCAGAACCTGGGCATCATGTCCCAGATGAGCGACATCGAGGACGACGCCCGCAAAAACCGCAAGTACCCGTGCCCTCTGTGCGGCAAGCGTTTCCGCTTCAACAGCATCCTCTCCCTGCACATGCGCACTCACACCGGCGAGAAGCCCTTCAAGTGCCCCTACTGCGACCACCGGGCGGCACAGAAGGGGAACCTCAAGATTCACCTGCGGACCCACAAGCTGGGCAACCTGGGGAAGGGGCGCGGGCGGGTGCGCGAGGAGAACCGCCTGCTGCACGAGCTGGAGGAGAGGGCCATCCTGCGGGACAGGCAGCTGAAGAGCAGCCTGCTGCAGCCCCGGCCGGACCTGAAGCCGCTGCCGCACGCCCAGCAGCCCCCGCTGGCCGCCTGCAACCTGGCCCTGCCCACCAACCACAGCGTGCCCGACGTGGCCAACCCGGTGCCCTCGCCCAAGCCGGCCAGTGTGCAGGAGGACTCAGCGACCCCCGCTGCCGGCTTCCGCTGCACCTTCTGCAAGGGCAAGTTCAAGAAGAGGGAGGAGCTGGACCGCCACATCCGCATCCTGCACAAGCCCTACAAGTGCACGCTGTGCGACTTCGCCGCCTCGCAGGAAGAGGAGCTCATCAGCCACGTGGAGAAGGCCCACATCACGGCCGAGTCGGCCCAGGGCCAGGGCCCCAACGGCGGCGGGGAGCAGTCGGCCAACGAGTTCCGCTGTGAGGTTTGCGGACAGGTGTTCAGCCAGGCGTGGTTCCTGAAGGGCCACATGCGGAAGCACAAAGACTCCTTCGAGCACTGCTGCCAGATCTGCGGCCGGCGCTTCAAAGAGCCCTGGTTCCTGAAGAACCACATGAAGGTCCACCTCAACAAGCTGTCAGTGAAGAGCAAGTCCCCTAGCGACGCCGAGGTGCCTGTGCCCATGGGCGGCATGTCCCAAGAGGCCCACGCCAACCTGTACTCCAGGTACCTCTCCTGCCTGCAGAGTGGCTCATTCATGGCCGCCGACAAAGCCAGCCTGAGCGAGCCCAGCCAGCTCTATGGCAAAGGCGAGATACCCGTGAAGGAGAAGGAGGTTGCGGGGAAGCTGCCGACCCCCATCTCCAGCATGGCCCACGGCGTCCCCGAGGGCGACAAGCACTCCCTCCTGGGATGCCTCAACCTTGTGCCACCATTGAAATCCAGCTGCATCGAGCGGTTGCAGGCAGCTGCGAAAGCTGCTGAGATGGACCCCGTGAACAGCTACCAGGCTTGGCAGCTCATGGCCAGGGGAATGGCCATGGAGCATGGCTTCTTGTCGAAAGAGCACCAGCTACAGCGCAACCACGAAGACACTTTGGCAAACGCCGGAGTTCTGTTTGATAAGGAGAAGCGGGAGTACGTGTTAGTGGGAGCAGATGGCTCCAAGCAGAAAATGCCTGCTGATTTGGTTCACAGCACTAAAGCGGGCAGTCAGAGAGACCTGCCAAATACGCTCGACCCTTTGGAAGGCAGTCGGGATTTTTTGTCACATGGGCTGCACCAGGCTCTCGAGTACAACCTGCAGGGTCCCGGGAGTCTGAAGGAGAAGCCCACCGAGTGCCCGGACTGTGGCCGAGTGTTCCGCACCTACCACCAGGTGGTTGTGCACTCCCGCGTCCACAAGCGGGACCGCAAGGGCGACGAGGACGGGCTGCACGGGGGCCCCGATGAGCGGCGCGGCTCGGGCAGTGACCAGGAGTCCCAGTCGGTGAGCCGCTCCACCACGCCCGGCTCCTCCAACATCACTGAGGAGAGCGGGGTCGGAGGCGGGCTCTCGCAGACCGGGAGCGCCCAGGAGGACAGCCCACACCCCTCCTCGCCGTCCTCCTCAGGTAGGTTGCCAGGGGAGATGGGGGAGCGGTGGCTGGCGCAAGGGCCCTCCCTGCCCCGGGGCCTGGTTCTGCACCAGCCTCGGTGGGGAAGGGTCCTCGCTGCCCTTCAGAGTCAGCTCTGAGTTCACCGTGGCATTGTGCTGTATGTGGACCTTGCCTGTCTGCCCTGCCTCAAGGGAAGGCTATCTTTTCAACTCTTTGACCTTCCCTTGAACACTGGCCACCAGGAAAGTAAGCTGATCCTCCTCCCGTGTGGTGGAGATGGCCGGTTGTTATGTTTGCCAGCTGGGATAGCCTACCCTCCCCTGTGATTACCTGGCCCCATTTCGAGCCCTGACCCCCGTCCACCATCACCCCTGGAACCCGGGAGCTGCTGTTTGGCTCCATCCGTGGATGTGAATGTGTAAGTTCAGACCCTCACCGTCTCTCCCCCCAAGTGTATGCCCATAATTCTGTCATTTGGGCCCCTCACTGCCTCTCCCTAGACCAAACCTGTCTCCGGCCCCCTTTCAAAAGTACAGCTTGACTCAGGTGCCTCTAACCCGAAGAACCACACCATTCTCCTCCGATGGTTTGGAGAAGCACAGAGGTTTGAAACACAGATGCGCGACTTCATGTCTTAAATTGGACTGTGTTACACGGGCGATACAGCTTTGGGGTCTAAAATAGCAAAGCAGAAAATCTGTCATCAAAATGTCTGTGAAATGCTGAAGCTTCCTGGCCCAGTTTGAGGAAAAAAAAGAAAGAAAGAAAGAAAGAAAGAAAGAAAGAAAGAAAGAAAAAAAAAACTCACTAGCCTAAGACAGCTAAATTAAAATCACTACCTAACAGCAGGTAAGCTTGTTGCCTTCGTATTTCCAAAGCCCCTTACTAATGGACAGTAAATTGAAAGTTATATCTCTAGCCCTTTATAAAGAAAGCATCTCGCTAATACTGTAATCATTCTGCAGCCTAACAACAGAGGAAATCATGCCATAACAAATACCCTGTTACTAATGGCAACATTGATTTCTGCAATCAGCCATTAAGTCTAGAAAATGAAAGACAGTTTGAGGCACCTCAAGGCACTGCATTGCCCACTGTTAAAGATGTGGCAGCACACTGTTGAGGGGTAATTTTTAAAAAGTTTTTTTCCCCTTTTCTTTTTTTTTCCCTTCTCAGTTTCAATAAATATTTCAGTATTAGAGGCAATTCACCACCACACTTATTAAGTAGATGCCAGCTTAGTTGTGTTGTTATTGTCATGCTTCAGTATACCCTTCTTCTAGGACAAAATTAGTATTAAAATAAAGTGTGACTCTGGTGGCTTATTACAAACCAGTAAAGAATTGTTAAGACACATAAATCTGCACTGCACATTCCAAAGATTCCGATAGCACTTAATGCCGCTGCTTAAACACCCATGAAACACACTGTCTCCACCTGGAGTCCTAGCCTTGTTTGCAGTTCACTTCAGTGAGACGCTCTGGAAGAGTTTAATGAGGAACTCCAGCACCACGGAGGGCTAGGCCACACTGCCTAGAGTGACCACCGCCCAAAACTTGCAAGGGAAGGGTTTTCCAGTGTCACTGCCTGACGGCGGGGATTCTGAGATGGATCTTTGTGCACCAAGGCAGCCAAGTGCCAGGTGTCCTACTGTCAGGAAGGATTACTTCTGGCCTCCTGTGAGGAGGTCCCCTCTCCCTGCAGAGTGTCATCTCACGGTTTTGGGGATTTGGGACCTTTCTGGGGCAGAAAGCAGAGCGCATACTGGCTTTCCTAAGTTTTTGGAGTGACGTGGAGTTAACACTGACAGATTTTCCTCCCTCTCCCAGCCCTGCTGGAATGAAAAGGTCTCAGCAGAATATTCCGACACCAAATGTTCGGCTCTATTAATGACGTGTTTACCGTGTTTTTCTCACCTTCTGGCCAAGTGATAGCCTCATGCTAGTCCTATCTCTGTTGTTTCTATATCTCTAAATACTCAGTTGAAAAAAGCCCATTTTGCCTAAAAGAACCAACCGGGATTGGGACTCAAAGGAGAATTATACTTGAATCGTGGTTATCTTCTCACTTTATTTCCCTCATTGAAGTATCTTACAATTGTGAATACGGATTCTTTCGTTTCTGGTTGACTTCTTTGTTTTCTTCATATTCAAATTAGACACTTCCATAATTTTCTGACTAAGTAGGAAAATTGATGGCATACCAATATGCAGCCCAAATCAGCCGCACGCCTGGGCCATTCAGGTTTTCCTGGGATTAGGACCCTTAACCAAATCGGGTTAGTCTTCCCTCTTATTTCAACAAGTCTGACTTGTATAAAGTGTGATTAAAATAAGCATTAAAATAAAAATCTTGACACAATAGGTGTTTTATTATTACCTGTTAGAGAGAAACCTGCAAGGTGAAGGGGAGAAAAAAAACAATCTTTAAGCCCTTAAGTAAAGAAAGAAGTACTTATTAAGGCTTCTATTAAGAAATAACTGCAAAAACACGGTTTTACAAATTTCTCAGACTGCATAACAATGTCTTAAAACTTAATTTGCATCACTTGATTCTTTTTTTGTTGAAAACTGGGTCAGTAGGGCCTGAGAAACTATTTTTTCAGATCTTAACCAATGAATTCTTCTTTATAAATCGCTGCTCTTAACATGATAGTAGTTCTGAATTCATCATAAAAAACCTTTTTACAGAGAGCCTCTTAGAACAGATCTCCAGAAGAAGGCTTACAATGAGTGGCAGAGACGTCCTTTGTTATCAGATGTAATTCTTTGCAAAGGAGGATTGGAACGGAGTGGCTGTTTAAAAATGTCTTGCTCAGACCGAGACGAAGAAGGGGTCAAGTTTGCAATCAAACAGTTATTGCCGAGATGGGCGACTGTCACTGGCTAGGCTAATGTGGGATGCAGCTGTTTGTTATGTGAGCAAAAGAATGTTTGAATCAGTGAACATGTGAAAATGATTCCAGTGAACCAGAAAATGTGTTTGTTCTTTGGCTCTCCAAACTGCTGAGAACCAAGCTTAAGATCAACTGTGAAAACTAGGACCTTTGACAAATTGAGAGGTCATATTTTCTAACAGAAAATGGACAAGACCAGTCATACAGATCACTTCCCCATCTTTCCCCTTTGTTTTATATTTGTTGTTGTTGTTGATTTGACTTACCAATAATTTCACACCATAGTAGATGTCATTTCTTCCTCCGTGTACAATGCAAAGGGAAACTATTTGGAAAGCAGCAGCTTATAAATTTTACTCTTTTATGACATTTAGAAAGTGGGGCAGCTGTTTTGATGCTCCCTCGTTTCTGGCTCGCGTGCAAATGCTCCGATGGCATTAATCTCTGCATCTTTCCCT